TCATTAATCATTTTTTCTGTGACCTCCCTCCCCTACTTAAGCTGTCCTGCTCAGACACCTCGGTTAACGAGTGGCTCCTCTCCACGTATGGCAGCTCCGTGGAAATCACCTGCTTCATCATCATCATCATCTCCTACACGTTCATTCTCCTCTCGGTTCTAAAGATCCGCTCTACCAGCGGGAGGAAGAAAACCTTCTCCACCTGTGCTTCGCACCTGACTTCTGTGGCCATCTATCAGGGCACTTTGCTCTTCATTTACTCCAGGCCCAGCTCCCTGTATTCCCCCAACACCGATAAAATCATCTCAGTCTTCTACACCATTTTCATCCCAGTGCTGAATCCGTTGATTTACAGCTTGAGAAATAGAGACGTGAAAGACGCAGCCAAGAAGGCTCTAAAATTTAAGGTAGATTCTTCATGAGAAGTTACCTAGTGAGGATTCATCTGATTCTCCTATTACAAACTCTTGAAACATGGATTTTATAACAACTTGAACAGCAAATACACAGCTACCCAAACCAGACAGTTTATCAAATATGGATGTTGTGGTTTTATTACTACACCTAACTATGCTTTTTTGCCAACACATAAATAAACATTTAAAACGTCAAAAAAAAAACAACTAAAGATTTTGTGGTGTTTGGTAGTTCTTTCTTTGCTAGCTGGGAGAGATGTTTGTCTAAATAGATTAGATCATGGTATCTTAAGGGATTAGTAAATACTCTAGAAAATGTTCAAGTGTTCATACATATGTGGAATGAAACACATAGTTGTATATTACAAGATAAAGAAGACAATTAGATTACCTTAGTTTATATACTAAGTATTTGCCTGGATAATGACTGTCACACTAGGGATATTTCTTATTCTTTTATCATTTCAGTCAATCTTTAAAAGAATAGAGAGTATTCTATTTTTTAAGTGATAGCAGAGTCAATACAATTACATATTGTGAATAATGCCTGGATACTTTACACAGTTACTTTCGTTATACATAGTTTACAATATTGTATAGCATTTGAAAGGTATGCTGTACAATAAGTTGGTGACAGGCAAATATATTTGGAAATAAAACTCAATTTTAAGGTTAGTTTAGTAATTTTGATCATTTTGTATAATCAGTTCCTTCAAATTGTTTACAGAACATTTCTTTAAAAGAGAATAGGAATATAAGTTAACTATAATAAAAGATAATTACATTTTTTCCTTTATTCTTATTTTAATACACCCAAGTATTTATGAAAAGATGGGACATCCTTTTCCAGCATCTCAGAAACAGAAGGAGCTACTAATGAGTCTTTTCCTACCTAAGTTTTATGGTAAAGCATAACGTAGGGACTAGTATTAGAAGACTGAATTTGGAGTTTGTATAGTCTTCCAAAATGTACTCCCCAGAAGAAATACTCTTTGGATACATAATTATTCTTTCATTACAATAAATATTTAAAAGATTTTTGCTAGAAATACCAGTGTAAATGTATCCACAGTGCAATTGTTAAAAATCTATGAAATAAAATAAAGATCACTTTGGGGTCACTTTTATTTTTTAAGTGTTATTATAAAGGTGATGTACAAAGGGGTTACAGTTACATAAGTCAGGTGATACATGCATTTCTTTTTGAATAGTTTCACCTCTTCCCTCTGTGTTACTTTAAATTAACCTCAGAATCTTTTCTGGAAATATTCTCTTGAATGTCCTTTGATAGAAAGTGAGCACTATCCCCCTGAACTACAAAAAAATATATAAATATGAAATTTAATTTCATCGTTCTCAACCTAGGTTGTAGACAATAACACAGAGCAGGTTAGTTGTGATCTGTCTGAATACAGATTTGAATCATTACATCTCAGTATCAGTACACAGCACACAGAAATCTTTTTCTATACTACTGTCATTTAGTACTCAAACTATCATATCACTAAATGTAAGAGAACCTATCAGAAAATAGAACTGCTTCCAAGTAAGAGATTAATCTATCATGTGCTAGTGTTTTTAAAGGTCAATAAGTAATGCCAATGGAAAATTTGGACTTAGTTTAGACCAATGATCTATGCAATATCTGCTCTGCTTTTTTACTAGCTGCCCCCCAGAGTTGCTATCATTGGCTGAGCTGCTAGTTAGATTGAAATACTAATTCTACAGATAATATTCTGTTTTTAGTCCCTCAGGTTTTTTTTACTAGCCTCAATAGGCTAGTAAACTTCCAGTGTACCACAACTAGTAAAGATGAATTCATGTTACATATTTAATGCAATCAGAATTTTCTGAAACCTTCACTTTATCCATAATTGTCACTCCTTAGTAAGTGATGTGTGTGTGTGTGTGTGTGTGCGCGCGCGCGTGCGCACATTGGCGATTGAACTCATGACTTGGAAAAAAGAATGTTGGATGAAAGATATCAAAATAGGTTGCATCTATGAATGGAGATAGAACAATGAAACTCCCAGAATGCTATTGAATAATAGGATTAGTGGAGACATCAAATATGATGAGTGAAAATGTACATTACTGGGTTACATAATGTAATTATACAAATTTAAGAAAGAATTTTGAAAGTAGAAAGGGAAAGGGGAATTAGTACAGACAAAAGATCTATAATAAATATACCAGGAAATTTTTAATCAGAAATTTTGTGGGGAAGACATAATTGAAATGATACATTTGGAATTCTGAATGAATAAAAACAGTCAATATATGAGAACCAGCAACAAAGTCTTTTTAAAAATGGAGTAGTTTTAAAGACCATTATGGATTTAAAAACACAAGAGTTAACAATCATACCACTCTCTCTCTCTCACACACACACAAAAGCCTTAATATTTTTTTCTGAATTCTTCCTTTGTCATTCTTAAGTATCTGTAAATAGTTACACAAAGGAATTATCATTCAACAAAGCAATTTATAAAAACAGTGCATCTTAATCCTTGTCATCCCTTTCAATATTCTTACCCATCCTTCCCAACCTATCCCTTCTCTCACTTTTTTTTTTACTTTTGTAGGTTACACATTGGATTATTGATTGCATTGTTCCAGACTTCTCCTCTTAATTTGTCTACCCCTCTTCCCTTGACAATTTTTTAAGAACTGAAATCATGATAAAATTAAATTGGTAAAATATAGTCTGCATATTCAATTAAAGTTAAATTGTTATCAGAGTAAGCCATTTGTGCGAACAGAAAGTTTTCTGTCTCAGAATAATAAGCAAAAACAATGTACTGGTTATATGCATCAAAAAGTGAAGATTCAAATATCAACAATCACACACCAAAAGAGGAATGGATCTTTATACAACCATAAAATCAAAAACCAATAAAATTGCATTTATAAATTCTTGTCTGTTAATAATTCCTTTGTATAAAGATTAAATTTTTATGTGAAAGGGACACAGTAGCTTGCACAGATAATCATAATGACCAAAAAGGATAATCCTAGACAGAAAGAGAAGATATCCAACATAAAGAAAAATACAAATGAAAACGAACATAGTTACACTTGTTTATGTCAAAAATAATAGACTTTTAATCAAATTTGTCAAAAGATATAAAATAACCATTTTATAATGATAAAGGAAGGGTGTATAACCATTTTAAATTCATATACAGCTAACCCTGAAAGTGCTAAAGATATAAAGGCACAGTAAAAAAATAAGTGAGATATTATAGTTGGGAATTTCAATGTTCTTCTTTAAACATGAGAAATATCAGCCAGATAGAAAAATGAAGGAAACAATGGACTTGAACTGTACTTTAAACCAAGTTGACCTTCCATACAAACATAATGTATCAGCAAATAACTTCAGAATGATATTTTTCTCAAGGCCAGATCAAATACTAGACCCTAAGACAAGAGTTAGCTAATCACAAATCATTAGAATAATGTCTAATGTTTCTATCTATAATGTTATGAATCGGGAAATCAGTAATAGAATGGATAGATCATATAAAATTATCAATTTGTAGAATTTTTTACTTATTTAATTTTTTGACTATCTTCCTCATTTTTTAAATTGGTATTATGAATGTGAAGTACAGAGAGCTTACCAATTCATAAGTCACTAGTGAGTACATTTTTATTTTTGGTCAGCTGTGGGGGGGGGCTTGAAGTGTTAGGAGTCCTAGGTGCTGTCTCTGAGCTCTTTAGCTCAAGGCTAATGTTCTATCACATCGAGCCATAGTCCCAATTCTGGTTTTCTGATGATTACTTGAAGATAAGAGTCTCTGGGGGGCTTCTTCCCAGGGTTACTTTAACCTTCATTCCTCATATCTGAGCCTTCTGAGTAGCTAGGATTAAAGGTATAAGTCAACAGGGCAAAGCTTGAGTACATTTCTTACTCTTGATTTTTTAATTTTACTGTCAAGGTGATGTACAAAGTGGTCCAGTTACATAAGTAAGGCAATGAGTTCATTTCTTGTTGAACTTGTTACCCCCTCCCTAATGAGGTATTCACATCATACAAGTATTAATTTTCAAGGTTCAAGGCTCCCCATCCCCAGTTGTATAGATCACTTTTGTAGAATTTAAATGATATTCTCCTACAAAAATGAGGCAAAAAAAAGATAATTGGACTTCTACTTTGAAGAAAGGAGATTAAACTGTAACTCAACAAATATATTAAACTTTTATTCCAGTAATCTTCCAGCAAGAGTTATAGTAAAATAATTAAATCTCAACATTTATTAAAGTTATGAGGTTTTCACAAGAGGAAATTCAAGCCCAGAAATACAATTATTCTCACAAAACTCCTGAGGGAAATTACTTCAAAACTATAACTCCCAAAGGCTATTTGTAAAAAATAAAATGCTAGCACTATAGTATTAAGTCATCACTGAAGAACTTATGTCAGGTAGGTTACTGAATCTCCAGATTAAAAATCACAGGGAAAAATATAAAAATATATCTTTTAAAAAAATAAGAAAAAGTCATCAATGATATCTATATGCCTACCTAGACAACCAGTGAAATATATTTCTGTGTATCATGACTAAAAATGACACTTGGATGCAGAGTGACAGAACCTATTATCTGTAGCATAACATTTTAATATTCTATGCTAGACTAGTTATATAGGAAAGCCTTTACTGTTTTACATTAATCCTGTATATTCATAAATTTAAGGGATTGAAAGTATTATTACAAAATATTCAATGACCATATTGCAGATAATAATGTATGTTAATAAAGCTCCTTGTGAGAAACACACTACACTAACTCAATGTAAAATACCACAAACATTCTAGTTGTCATTTGAACAAATAGCCATGCCTGCCTACACATACATGAAACATGCACACAAATTCACACATATACAAGAAGGAGAAACACATATTCAGAAAGTTCATTGGCCTTCATCAGAACTCAATTTTTTGGCGTTTCTTTTTTTGTTGTTTTTATAAGTTTTTTATTGTGAAAGTACCATGCAGAGGGGTTACAATCCCATGAGCAAGGCAATGAGTACATTTCTTATCAAGCATTGTTGCCTCCTTTTTTGTTTTTCCCCTACCATCCCTTCCCTCCCATCTGTACAACTACATTCCCCACCTCCCCCTCCACAACCCTCCTATATTGTAAAGTTTGTTTTTCCACATAATGTCTTGTACATCTCAGTGTTGCAATGGGTTAACCTGTATCCCTATTTAAACAATTTGTTTCAATTTGTTGTCCCCAAATTATACCAACATCAAATAGAGTGAAAACAGGGGTTATAATGTCAGGGAAGTATATACAAAGCACCAAAAAATCACATGGTACATAGAAACAATAGCAAGAAAATTAAAACCACTTGTGTCCTTATCTTGGGGTTCATTTCGCTTAACATCATCTTATCTGACCTTTTCTGCTCGTCTCAGTTATGGATTAGTTATGGAGACAATATAAATTCAATGCAAGACAAATGTATGGGTTAAATTTTGTTGATGTTGTTTTGTTTCTAGCATACTTCATTGGCCAGAAGATTCAACCTTTGGTACAGGACATCCGTTACAAATAGGTAAGGATTATAGTGGCAGAGCTATGAAAGATTTTTAAAGGAAAAGTACATGTAACTTATTTCCTGTCTCATTAAATACCAAAGACCTATGGACTGAGAAAAGTAACAGCACTTTTATTAATTGGGAATCATGATCTGTATTTCAAGAACTAACTTGATACTCTTTTTGTGAATATTTTACTATCAGTTGGTGATCACTGTTAGGATAAATGCAGAAGGTCTGTCCCAGTCATGCTTTTTCAGAAATATAATAACCAAATATTATTTGTGTACAGAAAGGCACATTCCTGTAACTTTCAGCCTGTCAATTTATCATCTGTATTTGTTTTGTATTATTTTGAAGAGCAAGTGAGACTCTTTACATTCAAATTTCCCTGTAAAGGTAAGAAAAGTAAGAACCTTGGGCCTTGAAAATTAAGACTTGCATGATTTGAATATCTGAAGAATGACATGTAGCTTTTTTGGGGGGGTCCATTCGTGGGGCCTGAACTCTGGGTCTGGGCGCTGTCCCTCAGCTCTTCAGCTCAAGGCTAGTGCTCTACCATTTGAGCCACAGAGACACTTCTGGCTTTTTTCTTTTTTTGCTTATGTGGTGCTGAGGAATCGAACCCAGGGACTCAGGTATGCAAGGCAAGCGCTCTACCACTGAGCCACCTTCCCAGCCCCAAGAATGACATATAGCTTTACATCAAAGTTTCTCACTTAGCTCAGATGTCAATCATTCGTTATTTTGAGGTAAAGCATGGTTTTTCATAAATTATATATGAGTAGGCAATTTTCTTTTGTTGAAGTGGCTTCTAGTATATTTAAACAGTTGCATACCCATTAAAGGAATCTATTTTTTAAATTATCCATTACTTAAAAAATACAATACCACCAGTCTTTGTCATCAAATCTAATCTACCATCTTTCTGGGCCCAGGTAACAAATATTTCACTTGGTTCCTAAGCATAGGCAACTAGGGAATTTTCATGCAATACACATTACTCTAAATAAATTTTATTCTGCCTTAAAATTACACTGCTGATAGACATAATAGTGAAGTGCATATCTATCACTCTTTCCTACCATTTTTCTCAAAAGTCTAAGGAAGACAAAGGAAGAATGGACAAGGGAAATTGCTCCATGCAGACTGAATTTATTTTCATGGGAATTACGAACAACCCTAAGATGAGGGCGCCCCTATTTGCCATTTTTCTGCTAGTTTATCTCATCAACCTGCTTGGAAACCTCGGGATGATCATTTTGATCCGAGTGGACTCCCAGCTACACACACCCATGTACTTTTTCCTCAGCCACCTTTCTTTCTGTGACCTCTGCTACTCCACGGCTATTGGGCCCAAGATGCTGGTGGACATATTTGGCAAGAACAAATCAATTCCTTTCTTTGGCTGTGCTCTGCAATTCTTCATCTCCTGTACCTTTGCGGATTCGGAGTGTGTACTGCTGGCGGTGATGGCTTTCGACCGGTACAAGGCCATCAGCAACCCTCTGCTCTACACGGTGAACATGTCCAGTAGGGTGTGCACTCTGCTCGTGGCTGGAGTTTACCTGGTGGGGATGGCAGATGCCCTGATCCACACTACACTGGCATTCCGCTTATGTTTCTGTGGGTCCAATGAGATCAATCATTTCTTCTGTGATTTGCCTCCACTTTACCTCCTCTCTTGTTCTGACATTGAAGTCAATGTGCTAATATTATTCACCATTTATGGTTTCCTTGAACTGAGTACCATTTCAGGAGTTCTTATCTCCTATTTTTACATCATCTTGTCAGTCTTGAAGATCCGCTCTGCTGAGGGCAGGTTCAAAGCTTTCTCTACCTGCACCTCCCATTTGACCGCAGTGGCGATTTTCCAAGGAACTCTACTCTTCACATATTTTCGACCGAGTTCTTCCTACTCTCTAGATCAAGACAAAATGACCTCTCTATTTTATACTCTTGTGATACCTATGTTGAACCCTCTGATTTATAGCCTTCGGAACAAGGATGTGAAACAGGCCCTAGAAAAAATTAAAAATAGAAGATGGTTTTAAATAGTTAAATATAGACACCTTCTGCACAAATGCTGCGATTTTACCTACATAAAGCTGTATGATGTGACGCATGAGAAACAAACTATAGAAATATGTAAAATATGAAACACATATCCACAATTTTCAAATAACGATATTTAGATTGATTATGTGAAGATATGAGAAATAAAGGGAAATATAATATGGAATATCAAAACTTTAAAGTGTAGGTGGGGATTTGTGCCTCCAAAGAATATTTATTTATTTATTTAGTGAAAAAACCATACAGAGGGGTTACAATTACATGGGCAAGGTAATGAGTACATTGCTTTTTTAAAATTTTTTATTGTAAAAATACCATACAGAGGGGTTACAATTACATTGGCAAGGTAATGAGTACATTTCTTATCCAGCATTGTTGCCTCCTGCTTTGTTTCCCCTTCCCATCCCTTCCCATTTCCCCCTCCTCTTGCCCCCTCCCCAACCAAAGTTTTAAAGTTCGTTTTTCAACATAACATCTTGTACATCTCATTATTGTAATGGATCCACGTATATCCCTATTTAAACAATTTGTTTTTTCCCTTCCTCTCCACAAATTATACCAACATCAAATACAGTGAAAGCAGGGGTTATACCATGGGGGGAGGGACACTCAAAGCAACAAAGAAATCATCTTATAAATATGTTAGAAATAATCGCAAGAAAGAAAAAAAATTTGAATCCTTATCTTGGGGTTCATATTGCCTAACATCAACTTATCTGACTGTTTCTGCTTAACTGAGACATATACTAGTAATTGCAAATAAGGGAAACCATGGGAACTATGTTCTTTGAAGAATATTTTTTATTTCATCTACTTTTAATTGTTTCTCCACTTATTTTTATAAATTTGCCCTGTGGCTATCACATTTATAATTTTTTTAATAATCAACAGATTTTTTTCTAGGCCTGATAGCAAAGATCCATAATATAAAAAGCTAGCAAGGTATAAATGTACAATAATATAATAAATTTTAAGGAGCAAAGAAATGAACCAGAGAGAAAAGAAAGAAAACAAAACAAAGAAAGATACAAAGGAAAAAGGAAGGAAAACATAAAAAGGAAAGAAAGATGTTTCATGTTAACAAGATATTATATAGTATATAATCAGAATTATATAGTAAGAAATTATATATCAATACCTTAAATGTAAATGGAATAGATTGTGTAAATAAAAGAATTGATTAAAAATCTGTACCCAATTCTGTGTTTTTCAAGCTGGCTTCATCTCACCTTAAAGGATATACTTAGACTAACATTAAAATGAGGGAGGGAATAAAATATTCCATAGGAATATACCTTGTAGTCATGTGTTTGATTTTGGTACTCTGTGTCTTGTATTTACTTTCATCTGATTTGGGGATGGGGAAGAAAATAACAAAATGGCGAAACAAAGGACAAAGGGTGAACCAGTGCACCAGTGATACTCATGAACTTTACAACCTTGGGGGTGGGAGCAGTCTAAGGGGATGGGTGGGAAAATGGGAGAAAAACATGGGAGGGAGTAACGATGTTGGACAAGAAATGTACATAGTAGTCTACTCATGTAACTGTAACCCCTCTGTCCATCAACTTTACAACAAAATAAAATAAAATTTAAAAAAGGAAATTAGCAGGAATTAGGCTTGCATCTCAGATAACCAAAAGTCATAAAGAGGAAAGAAGGGCAATTATGTTAGGATGCAGTCGTTTCAACAAGAGAAGGTAGTAATTCTAAAGCATAGCTGGTGCTGGGTCCTTTGATAGTAGTCCTGTCAAAAGAAATATCATAGGGGAGCTCTGTGTGAAGTCTTTTGAGGAACCTCCATACTGCTTTCCAAAGTGGTTGAACAAGTTTACACTCCCACCAACAATGAAGTATGATTCCCTTCTGTCCACATCCCCTCCAGCATCTGTTGTTATTAGAGTTCTTGATTTTTGTCATTCTAACTGGGGTGAGGTGGTATCTCAATGTTGTTTTGATTTGCATTTCTTTTATGGCTAGGGAGGTTGAAC